TACCAGAGCGGTCATTTGGATTTTTGAGTATAAAGCATTTACAACAAAAAACACGAAAATATGAAATACTGGGCTTTCTACCTTTGTAAAGCTCATAGGGGGTTTTCTCAAGAATGAGTCTGAGAAAAGCTCTGTTAATGATATAACATGCTGTAAAAATTATATCTGCCCAGAAATGAAAATGAATCTTGCTTTCAATCAACAGAGTTCTTGTCATTTTTTGCAAAGAACGATTTTTCCTTTCCACAACACCATTTTTTTTTTTTTTTTGGTAAGGACAACACCATTTTGTTCTGGTGTATAAGGAGTAGAAAAATTGTGTTGAAAGCCATTTTCCTCACAGAATTCTGAAAAACTTTGATTTTCAAATTCTCCCCCATGATCAGTTTTAATGCAGAAAATGGTATAACCCTTTTCATTCTGAGTTCTTTTTGTAAATTTTGAAAAATATGAAATTGCTTTATTTTTATGAGCAAGGAAGAATACCCAAGTAAATCTTGTGAAGTCATCAACAATAACTAAACAATATTTCTTACCATAAATACTTTGTGTTCTGGTTGGTCCAAATAGATCCATATGAAGAAGTTGCAAAGCACGATTAGTGGAAACATGATGTATAGACTTAAAAGAGATTCTTACTTGTTTTCCTAAAGTGCAGGCATTGCATATCTGTTTTCTTGTATTTCAAATCTAGCAGACTTCGAACCAATTTCTTGGTTGAGATTTTTGAGATTTGTTTCATACTGATATGCCCCAATCTTCTGTGCCATAGATCTTCATCCTCTTTGATTGAGATCAAGCAATGAGTGGAGTTTGGATTGACATCTAGAAGATAAATATTACCATGTGTTCTTCCTGTGAATATTTGAGAAGAATCTTTGCTTGTTCCTGAGCATGTATCTTCTTGAAAATTGATTCTGAAACCTGTATCACATAGTTGGCTTATGCTTATCAAGTTGTAGTTGAGTCATTTTACCAATGACACATTATTGATTGTGAGTCCTCCAATTTTAACCGTTCCTTTGCCAACTATTTTTCCTTTGTTATTTTCTCCAAATGAAACTTTTCCGCTATTCAGGCTTTGTAGTTCAACGAATATGCTTGGATCTCCTGTCATGTGTCTAGAACATCCACTGTCTAGGTACCACTTTTTTTTTCTCTTTGTGGTAACCTGCAAAAATCACAACTCAAGTTTTCTTTAGTACCCAAATTTGTTTGGGTCCTTGAGAATTAGTATAGGCTGTCTTAACAATGTCTCTTCGAATAGGTCTCCAGACCTTAGGACATTCATTCTCAAAATATTATGGATCTCCACATTTTGAGCACTTGAGTGCACTTCGGCCAACAGGTTTGACAAAATTCCTTTTGAAATGATTTTTATAAACTTGTCGAGGAGGTCTTTGCCTTAATCTCTCATTGACTTTTGGAAAATTAATTAAACTGTCACTTTCCTTCACAAATTCGAGACCAGATTTGTTGTAGTTTGGAATTTGTATAGAAAGAATATGCTTCAAGGTTTCTGAACCTTTTGAAAACTTGGAAGTAATTTCTGAAAATTCCTTTTTCAAAACATTTTCTTTGGAAAGAAAATCTCGATTTTTCTTGACTTGATGAAATTCTTTTTGAAGGAAATCGATTTTTTCTTTTTGTGAAATATCCTGTTGCCTCAGTGATGAATTTTCCTTTTTCAAAGAAGAGATTCTTTTAAGAGCAGCCTTAAATTCAAAGCATAATTCATCAATGTAATTTGACACTTCAATAGGCATTTCAGGATACTTTACCTCAATCTTAACTTTAGTATCAGAATCTGAATCTGACTTAGCCATCAGACAGAAGTTTGAAATATCTTCATCACTGTCTTCACATTCTGTATCACTCTAGGTTTCTGCTTTTAAAGCCTTCTTTGCTTTCTCAAATTTGGTCTTCTTTTTCAGAAGTGGACAGTTTGGCTTGATATGTCCACGTTTCCTACAGTGAAAGCAGATTACTTCCTTTGATTTTTCTGTTTCATCAAGAGCCTTCTTCTTCTCAAAAGGCTTCTTTCCTTTGAGATTTCTTCCTTTGATTTTCATCTTCTTGTACTTCTTTATGAAGAGAACCACCTCTTCATCATCAACATCTTCATCTTCAGAATCTGCATCAGAATCAATATTAGTTTTTAATGCAATTGACTTTTTACCTTTGAATTCATTCTCCTCATTCAGTTGCTCAGTCTCATATGATTGAAGAGTTCCAATTAACTCATTCATTGATAGAGGCATGATCCTTTGTGTCTCTCGAAGAGATGTTTTGATATTATCCGATTGCTTTGACAGTCCTCTCAGTAGTTTGTTGACTTTCATCGCGTCTGAGACTGGTTGTCCTTGGTATGCAAGACCGTTTACTATGTCAGCAAACCTGTTATACATATCAGCAATTGATTCTCCAGACTTCATTTTGAAGGATTCATATTAACCAAGCAATAGATTGATTTGAGTTTCCTTGGCTCGATCTGTTCCTTCATAAGTAGTGTAGAGAGTATCCCAGATATCCTTAGCTGATTCACAAGAAGCAATTTTTTTATATTCAATAGGTGCTAAGGCACAATAGAAAGAATAAATTGCTTTGGAATCTAAGGCTTCTCTTTTTGATATCTCAGTTTGAGATAATGGAGGATCTGCTGGTATACTTGCGTCTGCCTTTTCTTTTGAATAAGAAGATTTCGGTTTGACTCCTCTGATGATGACATCCCATTGCATGTGATCAATTGACTTTATAAATGCCTTCATCTTATTCTTCCAGACACTATATTCCTTGCCATCGAAATATGGTGGTCTGTTGTTGCTTTGTCCTTCAATGAGACCTGGAGCACTCAAGCTAGCCATATAGATCGTTAGCTCAGAAGTAAAACACTTCAATAAACGAGCAACCTGCTCTGATACCAATTGATGTAGCTAGCAAGGATCACCTAGAGGGGGGTGAATAGGTGATCTTAAATAATTTTTATCAATTTAAGCGGAAATGAATGATCACGGTTGAGTCTGAATAAAATTCAAATTCAAAACAGTTTATATAGACAGTGCTCTTGATGTGCAGTATGTAAAGTAAGAGATAAGGGATAGAAAAACTGCACACAAATTTATAGTGGTTCGGCTTATAGCAAGCCTACGTCCACTCTTCCACGCTGACAACCTGCTGGCTGGATTTCACTATGTAATCAAGAGGAATTACAGATTCTGAGTGACATCACTCTTGTGTATGATAGGACTCTCTATCTCACACAATCACTCTTACAAAGTGTCCCTCAAGATCTTAATGTTTGGCTTAAGAAAGACAAGAAAAAGGATCGGAGTATACTCAGACTTTGGACTTGTTGATTCTTAATTTCGTACTACCTTCTGCTCCTCGTAGATCTCCTTTGATACTCCTCCACTACCAAACTAGCCGTTGGACAGTCTTCAAAGAATCATCTTCCAATCTTCATCTTGGACAGATTTGTATAAAATGGATTGAGTAACCGTTGGTTGACAAAATCTGAATTCCGCTAATTCTGGTCGCCCATACAATCAGAATCTTGATTTCCATAAGTAAAGCTTTATCCGATGTAATGCATACTTGTCATAGTATTTGATTGTCAATCAATTATAGATTTTGATTGAGACAGTCAAAATTTTCCTTCTGTGAAATCCATGCCGGATCACTAGCTGTTGTGATACCTTCAGAATGAGTTTTGCTTCTGCGTCTGAAAAACTTCAACGTTTGCGTCTGCATAATTACTGCGTCTGAAGAATTTCTAATTCAAAACTTGAGTCAGCGTAGCTCTTCAGTAAAATATGAGTATTTCATAATAATAGTCTGAATGACTTTTATGGTAAAGTCTGAAAATCTTATATCTAAGTCTGAACTTTTAGTTCTGAGAAATTTGTAAAGTCTGATATTTCCTTCTGAATTTCTAGAATATATTAACCTGAAATGGAATGCATGTCAGTTTCACATAGAGAGTTTTGTCAGCTTCAAAATCCATTAGGAGTTTTCCTCAACAAATATGAGTAAAGGGTCCAAATATTGAGAAAATATCTCCGGAGCCCACCAAAAGTTCTCTCTTTGACCGGTCAAACTCGCCTCTTTTGTCCTTTTCTGGGGATGTCTTCACTACCCTCCCCCCACCACCGAGGCGGGCCCACGTGCAAAATCGATTGGGGACAAAAGCATTGGATCAACGAGTGGCTCTGGAGCCTTCTTCGTTAAAGGCGTGTGCAGCGTGTGCTCTCTCTCTTTAGAAGCGAGTGCCCCGCGAGATGGTAAATGGCTTTGCTAGGTTCGCGCAAATTGTAGGAACGTCCTCTTCGTTCGAAATAGAACGTTGGAAGCATATATTCTTATCATGTTGGTCGACTTGCAAGCGGCTGTTTCCCTTCTTCAGAAATCAACTCTCTCTCTCTCGATTTTGGGGGCATTCTCCTTTTTCAAATTAGGAAAATGTTAGAATATTTTGAGCAGGCTAAAATCATACGTGCTTTTAGGAAAGGAAACTCATGTATAGATTACTTAGCAAATTAGATGCATCATTGGATGTAAATGAAACTCTAGCATTAGAAAGGCCATTGAGAAGTCTGCTTAGCAAATTAGATGCATCATTTGCAGCCAACGAGCCATGCAAGGAGACTCCTCATCGAGAATACAAGGTGAAACTCCTTAGCCAAATAGCTATGCAACTCTTCATCTTACCGCCAAAGGTCCATATGATAGCAGGCATGTCAATAGGAGTTTAAAGGGTCAAAAAACAGAATCGGAAGTAGTCGCTTTGTCCAACAGACATTTAGCTGTTAATCAGTTGTTATCAGCTTCTTCACCTTGTTAAGTCTGTGAATGGATGACGACATAAGTGTAGAACTCTCTAATGATAAAGAACAATTTTCTCCCCAACGAAATGGAAAGCAAATTTGACAGTTTGTTTACTCTCATTTTGACATTGATGTGGCTTTCCCCCCTTTTTCCTTCTTTTGCTGGAAGGAGCTCAGTCTTACAGGTTTAGCTTCGATGGCTTTGAAAGATACACCCCCTTTTATCAATTGGCAGTTGAAACCTCTCAATCATGACGTGAGGCTTTTACTATCATTAGAATATGTTGTCAATGATCATAAGTGGTGTCCTTCCTTTGCTTGTCATCTCATTTTCCTTTTACTATACATTTTTGGAAGAGAATTTTTCTTTAGTTTCCAACTCATTATGAACGCTCTCCAGTTAATCAGATAGTGACAAAAATACTCTGATCTACCGAAAAGTAGAGGTTAAGCATTTAACTTGCTCCCTAAATGATTTGGATTCCCATAGAACTGCTGAAAAAGTTTTGCACTCAGCTATTCTTCTCATATGCAAATTGGATGTTTACCTTCTGAACATGCAATCCGGCGAAGTTTCTGTAGACTTGTTATGTTATTACATGTTTCCACTTTTGTCATCATATTGAGACATCAACTTGTAGCGAAGTTGTCTTTAAGATTTCTCTTATCTTCTGTTCTCCAGTTACTCTACTAAAGGTTATTCTTTTTCTCGCTATATTGAAATAGAAAGAATACAGAAAGATCTGTTGGTGAAGTGGCATGCATAAGATATCCATGTAATTCTCCAGTTTTCATTGATATGCCGTCATCCACAGCTCAGAATGCTTGATGAAAAGCGAAGAAGAGCAAAAGATGCCACGCGTTACTGTTATTAGCATTAGTGTTAAAAAGTAGCCGAAAACTGAAAAGTGCGGTCGGAGAGCTCACACTCGGGCTTAGGGTACTCAAACAGCTTGTGTTCGGGAGTTCTCCGTCTCTCAGTTATCCACAAGAAATTTCAATTTTGGATGAAGGGTTAATGGGTGCAGATTTGGGATTAAAGTACAAATTAGTGATTTTTTATGAAAAAAATTTAAAGTATAATTGGGACTAGACCTAAAGTTTTGGGTTTTTTTATGTGATAAAAAAAAATTAGGGTGGAATTGGGACTGCCTAAAGTTGGGGTTTTTTTTAGGGTTTTAGGTCCTGAAAATTTTAATTCCGAGACGATTTTTGCAGCGACCCAATTGGGTTTTTTTTTTTTTGGTCGAAAGCGACCCAATTGCGTCACAGCCCGGAATTTCTCTCTTTTCTTTCTTTCCAATAGACTTGTCAAATGGGTGGGTCGGGTCGGGTCTGGTTTGGGTCGGGTCATAAATGGTTCGATCCAAATTGACCCATTAACCCGTTTATGACCCATTTATGCGCAATGCAATTTTCTTAACCCATACCCGACCCGACCCATACTCAACTCATACCCGATCAGACCCATATTGCTAAAACACTTTCATATTTAATTAAATATAGGAAAATTCATACCTAAGCTGAAATGAGAGTGCGGAGTGAGTGAGTGCAAGATTGAATGAGGGCGAGAGAGATGCGTTAAGTTTAAATCAGTTATAAACTCATTTACGACCCATTTACGACTCATTTAACACCAATATAAGACTTCTACCCATTTATGACCCATTTACTAAATATAACTAATCAATTTATGACCCATTTACTAATATATGGGTTAAGAAATGGGTTTATGACCCATTTTGACAGGTCTACTTTCCAGTAAAAGGAGCAGTAATCAACATGCAAAACACAACCGGCGAATTTCTTGTGCATTCAATCTCACAACTAATTTAAAAAATACAATCAAGTTTCAGGAAACAAATTTCCATAATTTGCAAATGAAATAAAAAGAATTTTGAGAAAAAAGCATCGAAAGAAGATCTGTGAGCGGCCGAGCATGTTTCGGTGTTCGTCCCGTTGCTGCTGCGCTGCGTGCTCGCCGCTGCTTGCAAATCTAGTGATGCGAGTGAGAGGGCAAATCCAGAGGAGAGAGGTCTTGTTTTACCGTTCGCTCAAGTGTCTTCGTGGGTGGTGGCGGCACGGCGGGCCGACGATTTTTGTTGATGGTGGTGGTGCGGCCTTCTCGGCATGGTGGTGGTTAGTGAAATCAGGAATGTGACCGGCCGGATCAGGGCCATCGCATCAACCTCCGCTGCATCCTCCTCTGCCTCATCCTCAGCTTGACGGAGAAGGTGAGGGTGGCGGCGTCGGAGGGGACAGCGAGGAGAGGAGGAGGGAAAGAGCTGGATGGCGACGGAAGAGGAGATGTTGCCCTGGAGGTAGTCGAGAAGTAGTCGAGAAGGGGCTTGCGATCGATGAAGGTGACGGTGGGGAGCTGGTGAACCCATTTATGAGTTCAAGTCTTTTAAATGAGTCATAAATGTCTTTCTAGAGAATTCATTTATGTTCCACTTGGATTTCAGTATGTTGAATTCATTTTAATCGGCAAAAGAACACTACAAGTGCCATAACTTATGTACGGCGCTCACTTTGGTGCCATAAGTTTTTTTTGGATCACTTTAGTGCTAAAATTTTTGAAAAACGATCACTTAAGTGCTAAAATTTTTGAAAACGATCACTTAAGTGCCAACTCCGGTCTTGTACACAATTTTTCGTCTGAAATCGACGTGGCATTTTTTTATTAATTTCTGAGGCGACGTGGCTCGCGGAGGCTTGCCGGAGATTGGCACTTAAGTGATCGTTTTCAAAAATTTTAGCACTTAAATGATCGTTTTTAAAAAATTTTAGCACTTAAGTGATCGTTTTTCAAAATTTTAGATCGAAGTGATCTAAAAAAACTTATGACACTTAAGTGATCGTTTTCCTCCGACTTGGCACCAAAGTGATCCGAAAAAAGTTATATGCACCAAAGTGATCTCCGTACACAAGGTTATGGCACTTATAGTGTCCTTTTGCCCATTTTAACCCAACCCTTTAAATGTCTACCATTCCATTTATAACTCGACCTCAAATATATAAATAAAAAATGGTCAATGCCTCATTTTGACACTTCTAATCGCAAGCTATGTGAAGACTCGACTTTGCAGCTTATGTCGATAATATCAATGATCTTGTCTACGCACGTACAAACTTTGATGTCTAGCTATTTAACGACCTACCCATCCATATACTAGAAAAGGGGGGTGCTGGTCACTTGACAAGTGTTGGCCGGACACTCTCCATCGAAATCCACGTCATGCATAATCCTTAAAACTGTACGCATCTCGACAAGCGGGATATTGACATTGAATCACATTTCGCTTTCTCGACGTGCCCACCTTGTTCGGGCATTCGTCCTAGAATCCGCTAAGAATAATTAAAGATTTCATGATAAGGATATTGTTTTGCAAAGTCTTATCTATTAGAACTAACCCTTTGTTTTTCACTTTCCGTTCAAACTTGAAATATTCTGATCGAAACTATGGTTTCAAAATCTGTTATATTTTGGCGGTCTTACCTCCTCTTATAGGACAAATACATTGGTTTTATCCGACATTCTATTTACTAAACTCAATAAATAATCCCGTATTCTTCGATTGGAGATTACGTTGTTTTCACTTCTATCATTTCGAAGATGATTATCATAGGTAATAATAGCGGATATCGTATGATTGGTGCGAGGACAGCTAGTTCGGACAAGAGGGTTTGTACTAGTCTGGCGGCAACAACAAGAACAAGGTTTTAGATGCTGAATTGTTGTTATAAGGAATGAATGTTTCAAGAGAGCGAAACCAACCGTGGGATTGACTAACTCTAAAACCCGGCTTACGAGAGATCTAGCACTAGATGGGACTTCCTTTCTCAAGTCCTTTTCCTTCTGCTGCCTTACTTGATTATCTGGAAATTACGTATTAATTGCTCTGTAACCTTGTTGCTGCAGGAGTCTGTCCACTATATAACCCAATCTTGTAATCTGCCAACCGAGGAACGCATGATTCAAACCCCAACCTCGTCGCTGATGCATGTCGTTTCTTATTGGTCTCTCTCACTGTCTCTTTCTTTTTGTCTTTTTGGTCGACTCTCTGTCTCTTTCTGGGGACGTGTGTTTTTATCGTGATATAGGGACGACGGTAATGTCAATGACTCGCCCCAAGCCAGTCAAGTCTTCATTGGAGTCTCCGCTATTGCACATAGGTTATTGTCGCAACCCATCCGTGATGTCGTCTTGAATCAATAATTTAGGCTATGTTTGTTCTGCTCTGAAAAATATTTTCTTTATACTCCGGCATTTAGATTTTTTGAAAAAAATGAGTTAATGAAAAATGTTTTTCAGATCAATGGAAAATTTATGCTTAAATTTCAAAAAATTATTTTCTCTATAAAAAATCACATATCATTCGTCAAAATATAACTAAATATCAGTACTTGGACCATAAATTTTACGCTTGAGAACGGCATCTAGGACCGGGTGCCCTGACCCGGGTCCATTAAGGCCGAGTCCACAACCCTAGTGCCTATGCTCAAGTCTCCAGCACCTGGGCCCGGGTTCCCAAAGTTCGGGCCTAGGATCCCAGTGCATGTGCCTGTCCCCCATGCCTGAGCTCGGGTCCATTGAGGCTGAAACTTGGGACCCCGATGCCCGTGCCTGAGTCTCCGACCCTCGGGTCTACAAAAGCCAAGCTCGGGATTCCTGTGCCTATGCCTGCGCCTGTGCCTAGATCCCCCGCACTCGAGCTCGAGTCCATTGAGGCTGGGCCCAAGTCCTTGGAGGTCCCAATGCCCGGCCAGGGTCCACAAATACTAGGCCTCGATGGACTCTCAGCTTGGTGCCTTTGCCTGTGTCCCCGACGCCCGAGTCGAGAGAGGTCTGTTTGGGTCCTTCGAGTCCTAGCTTGGGACCTAGTGCCCTTGCTCAAATTCCCCGCGCCAAAGCCTAAGTCCATGGACGTTGAGGCGCGGGTCCCCAGGCTCAAGACCTTAGTGCCAGTGTCCGGATCTCTCGCACTCGAGTTCGGGTCCATTGAATAGCGTCCTTTCCAAGTGACGGAAATATTTTCCGGTTCTTTTTTAGATTTTAGCTAAACACCAAAAAATATTATCATTTTTCTTAAAAAATGATTTCATGAATTTTTTTCAAATAAAATAAACGGAGCCTTAAGTTGATATTAGCCAACTCCGACGACTACTCCAATCCTCTGAGTCCGGTGAATCTCTAGACTCCAGAAGAGTCGGAGAATACCCAGGATTCTTCTCCCATATCCTTATTCTTTTTAATTTCCGTTTCTTTTGTTTCCTCCATTCATGTGGCTTTAACTGAATGCCTCTTGTGCATCTCTTGGATAATTAGAATTTTCCATGCTTCACTGATATAATGATGATGATAATGATAACAGTAATTTGTATTATATCTCTGTCATTCAAGACTTAACGAGTTGCTGCTGAAGAGTGAGCTGGTCATCCATGGGAAAGGAGAGCTCTCATGGATGTTGTGGCACAAAAACTTGTAGAGCGGTGAGGACATGGCCTACTCTTTTCATTCTCTTCGCAGTTTTTGTTCTCTCTGGAGTCTTCATCTCTTGGATGGATATTGTGAGTCTCTTCCTCTCGTGCCTCCCCTTTAATTCTCTGCAACTTGTTTATCACTTTTACACGTGTCTCGCATATTGCCTTTGCCACTAAATGAATAGCATGAACTGTTCTGAATCATCGAATCATGAAACAAAAGGGAGTGAATGGTAGCTTCTCAGAAAAACATATTGATTTTTCTTGTTCTGTAGCATCTCTAAAATTGTTGCAGATCATCATTAGTTTTCTGGGTTCAGGTTCATATGTTATAATTTGTATTTTATGTCAGTTTGTTATAGTGTGAACGGAAGATATTTGCAGAAAGCTAGAGCTAAGGGAACTGTTTTTAGAAAGTACGGGGAGCCTGTTTCATTATGGCTTGACTTCCACATGTTAATTCTAGTAGTCTACTCTATTTCTTATTTGTTCTGCATAACTTTTCTCTCTAATAACATCAAAACAGAATTACTTTGTCCTTAAGAAACACGCTTTGCCGTGATCAAGAGTATGATGATGCTATGGCTAGGGATGATCGGTTCCCCGACCGGACCACCGGTCCGGTCCAGTTTTGGTTTCGGTCCGATTTAATGAAACTGATCATTTAGGGCTTACTTCACATTTTACTAATTTTTGTCAATGAATTTTTGTTAATGAAATTCACTTAAGGTTTTGTTCACATTTTACTAATTTATGTCAATGAAGTTTACTTAGGATTTAGTTCACATTTTACTAATTTTTTTTAGGAAATTTAAAAAATAAAAAAAGTATATGTAATTGATCCAGTTCCCCTTTGGAACCGGAAACCAGACCGCTCGGACACCGGTTCCACTTTTATGAATCGGGAACCAGACCAATACTCCTGGAAACTGGACTAAACCAGTCGGTTGGTCCGGGTGATTTTCGGTTTGGGTGGTCCGTTTTGCATACCCCTAACTTATGACCCATGACCATATAACACGTGTCTTCCTTGCATCAATCATTTCCTCTCGATGCATTGATCTCGATATTTTCTGTTTTCATGTTTCATCTTTTGTCTTAATTTTTGTAAATCTCGATACTGAGATTCTTTTTCATGACTTTGTAAATCTCACATATCAGCTAATCTCATATCCATGAATTAACCTTGGTATTCCTTTTCTTATTTTTTGGTGGTTTGTAGCCTACTTTTACTTTTCCAGGTGCTTCAATTTCCAAGACTACCACCAATGACAGCTCTGCCCAATCATCTCCGAAAATCGAGTTCCCAGTCGAGTGCGCGAATGCAACCGTGAAGCAAACATGCCCCTTGGATTATCCCTTGAAACACGAGACTAAGAACATACAAGCCGAGGTATGTCCCGAGTACTTCCGGTGGATCCATGAGGATCTCCAGCCTTGGAAGGCCACAGGAATCACGAGGGAGATGTTGGAGAGCATCAAGAGTACTGCACATTTTAGGATAGTGGTTCACAAGGGGAAAGTCTATCTGGACAAGTTCAGGCCTGCATACCAAACGAGAGAAGAGTTCACATTCTGGGGGATAGTGCAGCTCCTGAGGTTGTATCCCGGCAAGTTGCCAGATTTGGAATTGATGTTCCAATGCGAAGACCAACCGGCAATCAAGAAGAACGATTACAAGGGCTCGAAAGCCACCAAGATTCCACCACTATTTCATTATTGTGGACACCACACGGCGTTCGACATTCCGTTCCCTGATTGGTCCTTCTGGGGTTGGTAATAACTCACTCCTTTTGCGTTGCAGCTTCTTTAATTTTGTTTTTATCATAGTGCTAAGAAATGAGAGCATGTTTTACTAGCTAAACCATTGGTTGTTCGAGCTAAGTTTAGCCCGTGTCTTAGTAGATTCGGTGGATGAGTGCAGCATAATAAGCTCTAAATGCATGATTCACTCAATGCATAGAACTCACCACACCAAATTGGTTCATTCTCAACTGTTTAGCCAACGAAGATCGGGTCTCTATCTAGTAAAGGTGATTATTTTCAAGGTGGATATGCTCGAGACCTAAAACCTGGAACCTATGTTAAAAATCGGTTTCCAATTTTTGCAACTTGAAACTTGTAATGTTTTTTCAGTCCAGTACCAGGATTTACTCGAGAACATGTTTTTTTTATTCCTTTATTTGGTTTCATTTTTTTACAGGAAAATAATATGAGCAACAAAATAGTTCAAAAAAAGATGAATGAGGGTGAGTGAGCGAAGGTGAGTAAGGAATGAGTAAGGGCGAGCCGCGGGTAAGCGAGAAGGAGGGGAGAGTCATGAAGTGTCTGAGTGAGGTTGAAGAGAACAGAGAAAAACAGAGAGATAGATAAAAAGAAGTGAAGAGAAAAGTTTAGGTTTTTTAGGCTTTATGAAACCGATTCAAAATTCGGTTTGGTTCATGGTGGTTCTTTGCTCGGAATCAGGAACCGGACCCGTTCCAACAGAAACTAGAACTGGACCGATTTTAGGGGGGTTGATCTGGTCCGGTTCTCGGATAGAACAATCCGGTTGCATAGCCTTACTATTTAGTTTAGAGGGAATTTGCGAAAGCAGTTCCACCGAGCAACCTTTTTGCATCTTTTAATGCTCTCTCTTCCAGAAAAGCATCATGTACGAAGTCGGAAGTGTCTCATACAAGCACGTTTTATGTGGTAGGCCTGAAGTGAACGTAAAGCCATGGGAAAGCACATTATCAGCCGTAAAAGAGAAGGCAGAGATGATCCCATGGAAGGATAGAGAGCCCTATGCTTATTGGAAAGGCAACCCTACTACGTCTCGAAGCAGGGGTGAGCTCCTCAAGTGCAATGACAGCAAAAAAATCGATTGGAAAGCTCGCTTGTATGACCAGGTAAAAATGGAAAAGCAAAGCACTTTGTGAACTCTTGAAATCATTAATGATAAATGATCCTTATTTGATTTGGTCAGTGCTACCTATTGTTACTTGGATCAGATAGTAAAGTTACTGCACTAAAATGTGAAACTTGATGTGCTTGTGATTTCCTTTTCCAGGATTGGGGTCACGAAATGGCCGAAGGATTTAAGCATTCAAATCTAGAAGATCAATGCACTCATAGGTAAGCCAGTAACAATTCCCTGTTTCGTTTGTCTTACAAATCCTCTCCCGCTCTCTTTGTAAATTAGTAGTCGGTATTCCAGATCGCATCGTATGGCTTAGTCATAAACTAAATTTGCTTGCATGAACTAAACATGGTGCAGGTATAATATCTACATTGAAGGAATCGCTTGGTCGGTCAGTCAGAAGTACGTTCTGGCATGCGACGCCATGACTTTGCTGGTAACGCCGGAGTACTATGATATCTTCTCAAGAGGACTGATCCCCATGGACCATTACTGGCCCATTAGGCCCCACAAGAAGTGTAGAGATATCAAGTTTGCGGTGGAATGGGGAAACGAACACCCTACGCAGGCACAGAGCATCGGAGAGAACGGAAGCAGATTTGTCGCCGAGAGCGTGAAAATGAAGTACGTATACGACTACATGTTCCACTTACTCAGCGAGTACTCGAAGCTTCTGAAGTTCAAGACGAAGGTGCCTCCGGGGGCAGTCGAGTTGTGTTCCGAAGTGATGGCGTGCCCGTTCGGTGGCTCGATCAGGAAGTTCATGGACGAGTCCATGGTGATGTCCCCTAGCGATGCACTTCCATGCTCATTGCCACCTCCTTATGAACCTCTTGAACTCAAAGCGCTCCTCAAAAGAAAAGAGAATGTGACTAGACAAGTGGAGATGGAGGAGGCCCAACACTGGAAAGATTTCGAGAAACGCTCATCCTATTGGTGGTCTTGGATATATCATCTTTGTTGTAGCTAGCAATATCACCCAGATGAGGTGAATAAGTGATTTTAAAAACTCTAGACAATTTAATGCGGAAGTAAAACAGTCAAGTTGAGAATAATCAAACTTGAGTGAAGTCAGAGTCTGAATATTGACAGTAATATGATGATATCATGTTGGCAGATGAAGCCAAATATTACTATTAAGGGCTTTTTTTATCTTTTATATTAATTTTACTTTTAGGTTAAAAGCTACACTTTATATATTAGCTATTGATAAATGCAAGCCGTTAGATGTTGAGAAGAAAATAGAGAGAAAAGAAAAGAGAAGAAAAAGTGAGTTTTTCTTTGTGAATATTCTCAATCTCTTTGCGCTCCGATCTTGAGAGAAGATCATCTTTGTATTCCTACTTTCTTTGAAGTCTAGTGGATTTCCAAGGTGCCTCTGCACGGAGACATAGCCCAGGTTTGGGTGAACTTCGATAACAAATTTTCTGGTGTGTTCTTTCGATTATATTATTTTATTATTATATTCCGCTTGGGAGATTGTTTGCTTGTGTTATTTTTCCGGAATTGGTGTGCTATTCCCAACAACTGATATCAGAGCTTGGTTGGCTTTCTCAGTGATGTTTGATTGAAAGCAAACAATATGGTAGAAGATAAAATCATAATCAATAAGTTCGACGGATAGGATTTCGAATGATGGAAACTTCAAATCGAGGACTATCTTTATCCAAAAGATCTCTATGTACCACTTGAGGGTTGGAAACCCGAACTCGCGGAAGTGGAACAACAACAGAATCGGGATGGAAAATTCTTGATTGAATGGCAATAGGTGCGATTCGTCTAGGGCTGACGAAAAAGACAGGGTACCACATCGCGAAAGCAAAACAGCAAAAGAAGCCATGGATATTCTAACGAATATATATATGAGAAGCTGTTCACATCAAATCATATATTTTTGCTGAAGAAGTTATTTAATATGAAATTATCCGATAAAGATTTTGCGGCAGAGCATATCAATTGTCTCACACAGGTTACAAATCAGTTGGGATCCGCAGGCATAAATTTGGATATGAAGCTCCAAACTTTATTATTTTTATGTTCCAATATTGGTCTCAATTTTCAAGTATCATATTTATTACTTCCACCAATTATAAGTTTAAGAGATACTTTGATTTGGCGAAAAAAGAAGGTTAAATTGACTTGGATCAACAAAGCATATATTTCGTCACAACACATGCTTACTTTTCTAGTTCTTTACATGCATTTCAATCTTTAGGTTTTTATGTTTTTTCTTTTATTCACTAACAAATTTTATTGAGTTAATTTATTTTTTTAATTGGATAAAAAAATCTATCTAGGTAACATATTCACATGAAGAGTTTAAAGTAGGTTAAATGTTTTGGTATGGATATGGATGTGTTTTTTAGTGATATGGGTTGGGTTCGAGTTGGCTTGAGTTGTCGCTAAAATCGTATTACATAAAATGGGTCAATTTGAGCCGAACCATTTTTGACCCAATCCGCCCATTTGACGGGCCTAGTTGGGACATGCTACACTAGAAAGCAACTGATTACATCGAACATCAAAGCTGGGTAAGGGTAATGATATTTCTCTTTAACCACCCCACTCCCACTGTAGCTATTAGAAGTACGTTTAGGATTTGGACGGATGACGAGTAATCCCTGCAACTCAAATGATCTTTTACTTCTGTTTCTTTGTTTAAAATAACATAATGCAAAACTCTGCAATGCTAAGGAGGGCTAGAAAAACGCTTTGACAAGCTTAGGGCACGAATGACAATCATTATATTTCAGAAATCAATTTCTGGCGAGAAATAAATTTTTCTATTTTTATTCTATGGATGAGTTTTTGAGAAAAATACGCATTTGATAACGATACAAAATTTGTGTTCCCGAAACAAATTTTTTTTTGATAATGGCACAAAATTTTTCTCTCCCTGGTGGTCGGCAAGTGGACGACGGGCGGGCGGCGGGTGGCGGACGACGAATGGCAATGGGAGGAGGGCAGCGGGCGGGAGGCGAGCGGAGGATGGCTGCAGGAGGCGGGCGACGATCTATAGCAGATGGCGAATGGTGTGGAAGGCAGCCAGCGGCGGGAGGCAGGCAGCAGCAAACAGTGGCCGATGGACGGTGAGAGGCGGCAGACGATGGGCGGCTATTAGGGGTGTCAAAAGAACCCGATCAAACAGGATCTAACCCGACCCGACCCGAACCAAACAGGAAATTTTCGTATTGGGTCGGGTTGGGCCTTAACTTGTTTGGGTAACAGTAAAAACAAAACCTTATCTTGTTTTGGATCTACCCGAAACAAGTCCACCCGAAACAAACAAAAACCGCTTGTTCTTCTTGCACCCAAGCCCACCTGAAACCCTATCTTCTTCTTTCGTTCAGACAAGTGTCTTCCTCCGAAACTATTTAGGCTGCGCATGACAACTTGCCAAACAGTCTTTGATTCTGTTCTTTTGTTCCCAGAATCAGTTTGGGAACAGAAATGCGTTTGTTTAATTTTTTGATTTGGCTCAATTTTGTCAAAATTGTTCTTAATCGATTTGGAGTAGAATCGAGAATAAAAAAGTAGCTTCTTGATTTCGGAACAATTTTGAGAATCAATTTTTTTTCTTCTTCCTTTTCTTGGTTTTTAATTTAGCTTCTAATGTCCGGCCGAGAACCGCCCTCGCGGATCCGACGAGAATAAAATATTTTAATAAAAATATTATTAATAAAAATATTTTGCCGGCCATGGCCATAAAAAAGAAAAAAATATTATTAATAAAAAAATATTTTACCTGCCATGGCCGGTGACTAGGCCATGGCAAAAAAAGAAATAATATATATTTTTAATAAAAATATTTTAATAAAAAATATTATTAATAAAAAAATATTTTACCGGCCATGGCCAGCGACCAGGCCATGGCCCAAAAAAATAAAAATGTATATTTTTAATAAAAATATTTTAATAAAAATATTATTAATAAAAAAATATTTTACAGGCCATGGTCGATCGTGCCATGGCCAAAACAAAGAAAAATATATTTTTAATAAAAAAAATTTAATAAAAAAATGTTTTACCGCATGGCCGGCGAGCGAGCCATGGCAAAAAAATAAAAATATATATTTTTAATAAAAAATATTATTAATTAAAAAATATTTTATCGGCCATGGCCGGCGACCAGGCCATGGCCCAAAAAATAAAAATGTATATTTTTAATAAAAATATTTTAATAAAAAATATTATTAATAAAAAAAATATTTTACCGGCCATGGCAAAAAAAAAATATATATATATTTTTAATAAAAAAATATTTTACCGGTCATGGCCGGCGACTAGGCCATGGCCAAAAAAAAGAAAAAATACTTTTAATAAAAATATCATTAATAAAAAATATTTTACGGTCATGGTCAAGCAGGTGCTATGGCCAAGAAGGAGGAAAAGAAAAAAAGAAAAAAAAAAGAAAGAAATATTAAAATATTTAAAAATATTATTAATAAAAAGAAATTTTGCTGGCTACTAAACGCATTTACGTTCTTTTTCTATTCGGGATGGAATTTTGGGCCGTTAACAAACGCCTTAAAATGCTTAGAATCAATTCCAGGCATAGAATAAAAGAATCATTTCGAGCGAATGCTTGGCATAGTAATCGTTGTCATGCGCAGCCTTATTCTCCTCCTCCTCCTCCTCCTCTTCCTCCTTCTTCTTAACCATCAACCTCGTCTTTGCTTCTGCTTCTGCTTCTTCTTCTTAGCTTCTCATGTGGGCTTCTTTTCCTTAGCACGATCACCTGCTTCAGAATCTCTCTCTCGATGGTTTTTGGGATTTGATCTGGGATTTTATGTGGATGTGAGCTGATTTGCCGTTTGAACAAATGGAGGAGGAAGAGGTTGTCATTCTGACCTTCGGTCGTGCAACGGCGCAATTGCACTCTCAAGCGCCTGACCTCCGGTCTCGCAATCCAGACCACCCGCGGAACCATCTCTTCCTCCAACTTCTTTGTGAAGCTCGCCAAGAGCTCCGGATCTGCAATCAGTTCGCCTTCCAGGATGCTCTTGCCCTTCAAGCTCTCAACCCTGTTTTTGCCCAAGCTCGTTGCGACGTCTCCTCCCTCGAGCTCGAGCCAAAGCCTCTCTGCCTTGACCAGAAGATCCTTCTCTTGCAAGAGCCTCTAGCCGGCCCGACTCCTCCCCGATGTCCTTTTTGTCTTTAACTGATCTATCGCCTTTGGAATCTGGTTTATGATGCTTCTCCCTCAAGCTCTCTTCCCTCTCTTCTTCCAATTTCTTCACCTTCAACTGCAAGGACCTTTGTGCCGAAACAACAACAAAAAAAAACACAAAAACGAAAAGAATAAAACTTTTCTTCTCAGATCTGGTATTCATTTTCATCTCGACGATGATTTTTTTTTTAAAATTTGGTCTTTGAGAAAAGGAAAGGAAATACTGTAGAGACCGAGAGGTAGAGATTTACGGAATAGATCCGTCATGGCGTTGGACCTCCTGCTAGAGCTCGGCGACGCGTAGCTTCTGGAGCTCTTCAAGCCAGGGGATATGGACCACTTTGTCGTCGGAGGAGGAGGGGGCGGCGGCGGCGGCGTCGTCGTGGAGGGTGGCGTCAGGGGAGGGATGGGGGGAGAAGCGGCGCTTGAGATCAAGGTACTGAAGACGACAGCTGTCGGGGGTGATGAGGGGGAGGGAGCTCTGGGATTGGACTTCCAAGGAGACGGAGTCCCAGGTGTGGAAGCCGTGGCGCTTAACGGCGCAGGCATGGAGGAATTGACGAAGTCAATTAAAAATCTCAAACACGAAACCCGACCCGACTTGACCCGTCCCAATCGTGCAGTTATATCTTGTTTGGGTCTTGTTTCGGGTCGGGCCAAACACATATGTTCATTATTTTGGATCGGATCGGGTCGGGTATCATGAAAACCAGACCCGACCTGACCCATTGACACCCCTAGCGGCTATGGGAGGTGGGTGGCGGCCCATGGTGGCCAGTGGCAGGAGACGGCGGGCTAAGGGTGAGTGGGAGGCGGCAAACGGCAGGCGATGGGATATGGCGGTCGGCGTATGGTGGTAGGCGGCGGACGGCTGGTGAGCGGCGGCGGGTGGGTGACCGGTTAGTAACGAGGGCGAGCGATAAGAAGAATTTTTATTTTTCATTTTTGTTTCTGAAATAAAAAAAGTAGAAAATTTTTACTTTTCATTTCTTTTCAAAGCCTATTTCTGAAATCAAAATTTATTTCAGAAATAAAAAAATGAAATTGCGTTACCAAACGCATGTTTCTGAAATCAAAATTTGAAGATGCGTCAGCTACCGCTTTCTTTGACGACGGTTTGGCATTTCTTAAGCAGTTCTTGCTTGAGATTGTCCATTCTAGGGTTTCATTTTGGCTTCGAGATTGATGGGAGGAGCGGTCAAATCTACATGAGTTCACTTTAAGCATTCCATCAAACATGTGGCGAGCAATTTCCTAATAGTGTTTACATCCAAAGCAACTTGGAATCCAACATCCGAATCAAAGCCAAACATGCAACGACGACGATCTCACGGTGGCTAAAGTGCAATAATGAGATTATTTTTCAGTGTAGAGGATGGCGGTGCTTGGCGTGGTGCTTGGTGGCTCCATGGGCGGCATTGGAAAGGACGGTGAATACTCTTAAACAATATTAAAATATTATTATAAATTATCCACGTTAGCGCGATCGTATAACGTAGGATTGTCAGCGTCCATGTCATCGAATTCCGGTAAAAATTGCCCGGATGGACTCAATTAGTAAAACGCGAAAAGATTTACGATTCAATTGGCAAAATAGAAAGTTTTAGGATTGAATTGGCAAAAGTGCAATAAATTTAGGACTTTTTGAATAATTTTTCCCATTTACGAGGTGTCTTTCTTTTGGAATAAAGACGTGAGACGTGCTTTACAATTAGGCCCGACGATTGCCCATTTGCTAAGCTTTAACCGATGCCAGGTGTCCGGACGCGATTGCTTTTAATTGGAGACACCATCTCCCCTTCGTCGTCGTAATTAATAATATCGAGCTTGAGATTGAGCATGTTAAACCGACTATCGAGCTCGAGCTGGATTGAGCTCTTGCCCCTTAAACTTTGAGTTGACTTCAATCAATCGGGTTTTGCAGCTTTTTACGAGGGTTTAAGCACGTCAGATATAACTTGTTGGGTCGTGTCATATTTTTGATCGGTGAGTTTCGAGTACGGACATTACACTTTTTTTTTAAATTTTTTTTCATTAAGTTTGCGTGAAGATCGTGTTCATAATTTGTAATCCTTCGATCAGAGTCTCGAAATCGAAGGGGTTAATACCACGAAAAACCCCAAACTGATATACCTGTGATAAATTTACTCTTCGTTAGTTTCCGTTAAATTTTATTGTTAAATTGTTTTGTTAATTGACTTGCGGGAGTTGACGGATGTATCGGTTTTGGGTATTATCCTCCGTTTGTCACATGTGTATCGGTTTTTGATTTTTCGAGGCATTAACCAATTTAACGCAAACCAACGGAGGGTAAATTTGTCACAAATATACAGGTTTGAGATTTTTGGCGGTCAAAAAATTAGTTTCAAATAAATTTGTCATAGAGGTACTAGTTTGGTGTTTTTTATGGTCAAAAAAATTAATTTTGGGTAAATTTATCATAAGTGTATTAATATGGGATTTTTCGTGGTATTAACCCAAATCGGAGGACGGGAAAAGCACGGCGCTAAGTTGTGGGCCTACTTGTGAAGGGTGTGGATCTCATAGGTCCATTTAGATCTATTTATGGGCTAATGGCCCATGAATTTCACTGGTTTTGGGCCCAAGTTGTAGAGCAAAACCGGCCCATTACTTCAAAGCAGCGTCCGCACGAGGAGAACCAGCGCTTCCCCGTCGTTCCCCGTCGTTTCATCGTGTGCTGAAAATTCGCTGTCAGGCTCTCGCCTTCCGGTGAGCTGAAGCGGAAGCCTGCCGATGAGCTCGCCCGGCGAAGCGAGCGCTCCGTCCGCTCCGGCGAGCGGCGGCTCCGCCTTCGCGGAGAGAGCCTCCGAGAAGGTCCTAGCTCGATACCGCGCTCTGCCGAAGAAAGGGAAGCCTCAGGGGCGCGAGGTCACCGTCCTCGCCGCCTTCCTCTTCTCCTCTCCTTCTCGAGGTTCTCCTCTCTATCGAGCTCGAGTCTGTTGCTTCGATTCGTTTGTTGGTTCTGATAGCATCGAGCATGATTCCGTTTCGTCTCGTGAATCTCTCTCTCAGAACTGGAAGTGGTTTCGCTCGGAACGGGGACGAAGTGCATCGGGCGATCTTTGCGGAGCCTCCGCGGCGACGTCGTGAACGATTCTCATGCTGAAATCATCGCGCGGAGAGCTCTGATGAGGTCGTGTTCATCGCTGGTTTGCTTTTGCCACCGAAAGCACTGTGGACTGCCAATTTGATGGTTCTCACTTTTTTTATTGCATTTTCGTTTGTCGATGATTTATAGCGACTTGAGTTTGGTTCGACTCAGGTACTTGTATGCTGAGATCCAACGACTTAAAATGTCTTATGGTAATGATGGAAACGATGTTCGTGATTGTAAATCCCCGCTCGAGCCGATCATAGAAGGCCACGACGAGGGGAAGTACAGAATGAGGGTGGGTTGGCAATTACATCTGTACATATCACAGTTGCCATGTAATTCCTGGAAATAGCTCATTATGTTCCTTACTATGTTATGGTGCTAGGACTCTTTTTTTTTTTCTGTCAGTCATGAAACACTTCATTGACTATGTTTTTGGACAATTCATCACCTCAACAGTCAACAATGCAGTTGAGTTTATATGCTTATAAACCTTTCCGTCGCATACGTAGGTGGAGTCGCTTCTCCCTCCTCCCCGTTGCCTCATAAAATAGCTGCAATGATAGAAGAAAATGAAGTCGAGGTGCCATCAATGGTGAAAGACACAGAAGGAAGGGTTGCAGAGGATATGTTGAGGAAACATGGTAATGGCAGATTTAAGCTCCTTGGCTGATTAATATTTCTAGGATCTTCTATTCTTTTTGGGTCCCTCCTGTTAGTGAATTATCTGGACGATTCATTCTCATGCGGCATCTTGCTCTGGTTTTCTAATGTGCCGGAAAGATTTTTGTTCATTGCGATTCTATTACATGTGACATTTGATGCTGAGATCCACAAAGTTTATATTTTAGCTACAAATGAACACAAAATGATCCTGTGTGTGTATGCTGCATTTTTGTGGGGGGTTAAGAGGGAGCCGGTATAAGACGTAGGATCAAATTAGAGTGGACCAAAAAGGAAAAGAATTCTTACATTTTGGTTTTCCCTGGTTGTCATTTTAGTAAATTGCTAAAAGAATTCTTATATGTGTACCTTTCTCTGCAAATTCATGTGTTGACAACGCGGATCATTAGTTATTTTTTTTCTGTTGTTCGAAGTGTTGAATTGAGAAGTGAACTTTAAACACTAGCAATTTACAAGTTTATCGCACAATAGCTTGTGAGAAAATGACATCATGTAACTTTTCTTTGACAAGTGATGTAGCTTTGGAATCAATTCTCCTCATTAATTCTCTCTCTGTCTCTCCATAAATTTGTTCATGTTTCCAGGAGATGACTTACCAATCATTGCCTCTGTTCAGAGAAAGCCTGGACGTGGTGATACTACATTGTCAGTCTCTTGCTCAGATAAGATAGCAAGATGGAACATTGTTGGTGTTCAAGGTTTGTTCCTTCTGTCTATGAATCATCGGAAGCTACGGCTGGCCGCTTGTAGCATAATGAAACATAATCAACCTCCTGCTACTTTTTTTATAGTTTCCTCTTTTCTTGGGCTTCCATATGTCGTTTCATGATGTCATTGTTCTACATAGATTGACCATTAGGTATAATGACTGCTTTTACTTGGTAGCGTTCTCATTTCTCTCCCTTCAGGTTCTTTGCTTTCCTACTTCCTCGAACCAGTTTACCTGTCTTCTGTGATAGTTGGACAGTCTCCACATAATCCTGAAGAGATTTTGGTGCAGAATAAGCTGCAGCATGCTCTATATGAAAGAATATTATGCTTTCCACTAGAGCAATTAAGTCCCTTCCGATTGAACAAGGTTTGTGCTTATTTAGTGTTTATCGGCAAATTAATATTGAGTGGGGACGACTAAAATTTTATCATCCTCTTAGCAGCCATTGTTCTTGGTCGGCCCAATACCGCCTGTGGAATTCCAGCATTGTGAGAATGCTGCTGCAACTCTAACATGCGGGTCAGTTCAATGCCCTTCTTTTTTAAGCTGAAATAACTCACATCTGCTAGATCTTTTATCACACAATAAGCATTCATTTTCAGATATTCATTATGTTGGAACAAGTCTGGGTTGCATGAGGTTATTCTTGGAACCACGGGAAGGAAACAAGGTACCTCTGCCAAAGGGGCATGCTATCCATCTACCGAGTCATCTCTGTGCAAGTAAGTGCAAACTATGTCTAGCAGTTTTTGACTACAGTAGTACAAAAATTATTGTCAATATTGGTCGTCTTCTTCTCTCAGGTGGCGGGTATTGGAGATTTTCTTGTCACTCAAGCATGAGGGTGCAGCCAACAAGCCATGCAATGAGACTACTTATCTAGAATACAAGGTGAAACTCCTTAGCCAAATAGCTACGCAACTCTTCATCTTACCGCCAAAGGTCCATTTGATAGCAGGCATGTCAATGGGAGTTTAGAGGGTCGAAAAACAGAATAGGAAGTAGCCGCTTTGTCCAACAGACATTTAGCTGTTAATCAGTTGTTATCAGCTTCTTCACCTTGTTAAGTCTGTGAATGGATCATGAACCTAAGTGTAGAACTCTCTAATATTAAAAAGAACAATTTCTTCCACGATGAAGTGGAAAGCAAAGCTGACAGTTTGTTTACTCTCATTTTGACATTGATGTGGCTTTCCCCCCTTTTTCCTTCTTTTGCAGGAAGGAGCTCAGTCTTACAGGTTAGCTTCGAAGGCTTTAAAAGATACAACCCCTTTTATCAATTGGCAGTTGAAACCTTTCAATCATGAGGCCTTTACTATCTCGAGCTAGTTTGCTGTCAATGATCACACGTGGTGTCCTTCCTTTGGTTATCATCTCATTTTCCTTTTACTATACATTTTTGTAGGAGAATTTCTCTTAAGTTTCCAACTCATTATCAACTCTCTCCAGTTAATCAGAACATTGACAGAAACACATTGATTTACTGAAAGGCAGAGGTCAAGCGTTTAACTCGCTCTCTGATTGATCTGGATTCCCATAGAACTGCTAAAAAAGGTTTTGCCCTCAGCTATTCATTCATCTCATATGCAAGTAACTCTGATGGTGAAGTGGGATGCATAAAATAACTCTCTAATTCTCTAGTTTTCATATGGCAAGTCGGCTTTGTCGTTGTCGTCGTCGTCCTCCAAAGAATCAGAATGCTCGATGACAAGAGAACTAGGGCAAAAGATTCCTTAGCCACGCTTTACTGCTAATTAGCAAATAGCGTTAGAAAGTAGCTGAAAAGTGCTTCGCCACCTGACAGTATTCGTCTTTGTTCTTGCCTGACGTGGGTGAATACAAAAGATATAATAAGAAAGACAATAAAAGAAAATGAAAGAATAAAAAAAGAACAAAGTAATAAAATATGAAATACAGAATAGTGGAGTACTTTAATACAGCGGAAACGAATACGTTGATTTTCTCAACTTATGAACAAGATCCAAGAGTCGTAAGCTAACACGAAGACTTTGACTTTGCAGCTTGTTTCGATAATATCGAACGATCTTGTCCATGTATATACATGTCCAGGGGAGTTGATGAGGAACGGAGGGTAGACGAGCACGGGAATAGACGTTTAGGTAGCCACGAAGAGATAGAGGGGGGGGGGAGGGGGAGGATTGCACGGGACTAGAGAATTTCCTCCATAGAAAACTTTGATGCCTAACTGTTTCGCCACCTAACTATCTAAAATAATAGAGCGGCGGAAGTCTCAATCCGCTTAATGAGTGCTGTCGGGATACTCAGTCGCCGAAACCCACATGGTGTGCGAGTACCAAAGATCGCGCGCGACCCAACGAGCGGAACATCCGAGTTCGCTGTTCATTTGAAGTTCCTAATTCTAATGGTACCCAATTATAGGAGGATGGATTTGGCATGCTTGCGCAGACGATTTGCTAAAGGGGAACCCCCTTTTTCTGGATGAAAAGATCAGACCCGGAAAATAATAGAACGAAATGAAATGAAATGAAAGGTGCATCGTAGTGGCACCAATTTGCTTATTGGTCCCCAGATTGACCAATGAGGTTCGACCTTGTTGCGGGGTGCACATAACTAGATTTTGACCCTCGGGTCCATTCAAATCGCATTGGAAGAACGTGCCCAATAGCCTAACGAGGACTTTTGAGGCCGCTGATCGAAGGCGAATTTGGGGCGCATTATTGCGCCCATTTCGCTTTCCTGACGTGCCGTCTCTGTTCGGGCGTTCGTCCTTACCCCGATTGCTCGTCCAATGCCCGGGATCCGATGTGACCTAAAGTTTGGAAATTTTCACCAGATTGGTCTCATCTTTGAACCCCGTCAGGTCGAGTCACGAAATTAAATGAGCCGTGCACCTTCGTGGAATTACATCTCTCCTATTCGAAATGGTCGAATCCCTGGATTTTTTTGGGTTTCGTCGATTTGACGGGAGAACCAATTGTAATTTTAAAAGTCGCGCGTGACGGTCCCAGCGGTCGGATACATCTAATATAGTATGTCCGAGCGGGATTGAGTGTGGCCCAGTCCGCACAGGATTCCTAGAAACCGCCAAAGAGGAATTAAACAATTACACGATAAGGGTTATCTATTGGGGCTTAACCCTTTGTTTTATCAATTTTACCATTCAAACTTGGAAATATTCTAACGGAAAATGCACAGAACGCCGAGGAACGCACGATTCGAACCCCAAAGTCGTCGCTGATGCATGTCGTTTCTCATTGCTCTCTCTCTCTCTCTCTTTCCTGGGGATGTGTCGTTTGATCATAATGTTAGGGGGAACAGACAGTAATGTCAATGACTCGGCCACGAAGCCAGTGCTACTGCTGCATAGGTTATTGTCACAACCCATCCACGTCCTCCACAGACGGTCCAGATTGGTCCCCTGCGAGCTCGTCTGGAAGCAATAATCTATCGTCGATATCTAGTAAAAAATTCCCCAACGAGATCTTACCTTCACTGAATTGCCAACTCCATAGAGACCATTCAAATCCTGCGAGCCCCCGGGTGGGGAAGATAGTCTATGGACTCCAAGAAAAGTCAGAATATACCCACGATTCTTCGCCCCACACAGCCCCTCTTTTTGCCTTTCCAATTTCCATTTCTTTCGTTTCCTCCGTTCATGTGGCTTCAGTTGAACGCCTTTTGTGCATCTTCTTGGGAAATTTCTCCAGCCCTGGTGGTGACAGTTAGCAAGCCGGACAAAAGGGTATCGCTAGAATTTTCCATGCTCTTCAGCTGATATAATAATATGATGGTAACGATAACGGTAATTCGTGTGACATCTCTGTCATTCGGGACTCAAACGGGCTGCTGCTGAATTGTGAGCGAGCTGGTCGTCCATGGAAGAGGAGAGCTCTCATGGATGCTATGGCGCCAAAGCTTGGAGGCCGGCGAAGACGTGGGCTTCGGCCACTGTTTTCGTTCTCTTCACGGTCGTCGTCGTCTCTGGAGTGTTCCTCTCTTGGATAGATATCGTGAGTCTCTCTTCATCTCGTGCCTCCCCTTTTGATTCCCTGCAACTTAGTTTTCCGCTTTTACGAGTGTCTCGCGTATTGCCTTTGCCGCTAAATGAACAGCGCATGAACTGTTCTGAATCATCGAATCATGAAACGAAAGGGGGTGAACGGTAGCTTCTCAGAAGAAAAGATTGATTTTTCTTGTTCCGTGGCATCTCTTAAATAGTTGCAGACCATTAGTTTTCTGGGTTCGGGTTGATATGTTATAATTTGTATTTTATCTCAGTTCGTTATCATGTGAAAGGGAGAAATTTGCAGAAAGCTAGAGCTAAGGGAACTGTTTTTAGAAAGTACCCAGAAACGGGGAGCCTGTTTCATTATGGCTCGACTTCCACATGCTAATTCTAGTAATCTACTCTGCTTCTTGTTTGTTCTGCGTAACTTTTCTCTCTAATAACAATAAAGACAGAATTACTTTGTCCTTAACAAACACGCTTTGCCGTGATTTAGAGGATGATGATGCTGCTATGGCCCATGACCAAATAACATCGTGGGTTGCTTGCATATCAGTCATTTCCTCTCGATGCATTAATCTCGGTATTTTCTTTTTTCATGTTTCATCTTTTGTCTTAATTTTTTGTCGGCCATAGATATGCTAATGTTTCGCAGACACAGAGACTCTTTTTCATGACTTTGTAATTCTCACATATCAGCTAACCTCATATCCATGAATTAACCTTGGTATTCCTTTTCTTGATTTGTGGGTGGTTTGTAGCCTACTTTTACTTTTCCAGGCGCTTCAATTTCCGAAACTACCACCAATGACAGCTCTGCCCAATCATCTCCAAAAACCCAGGTTAATATGTTGCAGACCATTAGTTTTCTGGGTTCACGTTGATATGTTATGATTTGTATTTTATGTCAGTCTGTTATCGTGTGATAGGAAGTAATTTGTAGAAAGCTAGAGCTAAGGGAACTGTTTTGAGAAAGTAACTGGAAACGGGGAGCCTGTTTCATTATGGCTCGACTTCCACATGCTAATTCTAGTAATCTACTCTGTTTCTTGTTTGTTCTGCGTAACTTTTCTCTCTAATAACAATCAAGACAGAATTACTTTGTGCTAAACAAACACGCCTTGCCGTGATTAAGAGGATGATGATGCTATGGCCCATGACCAAATATGCTAATGTTTCATCTTGTCTTAATTTTGTGTCCGCCATAGATATGCTAATGTTACGCAGATACTGAGATTCTTTTTTGTAAATCTCACAAATCAGCTAATCTCATATCCATGAATTAACCTTGGTATTACTTTTCTTATTTTTTTGTGGTTTGTAGCCTACTTTTACTTTTCCAAATGCTTCAATTTCCAAAGCTACCACCAACGAAAGCTCTGCCCAATCATCTGCGAAAATCGAGTTCCCACTCAAGTGCCCAAATGCAACCACGAAGCAAACATGCCCCTTGGATTATCCCTTGAAACACGAGACCGAGAACATACACGCCGAGGTATGTCCCGAGTACTTCCGGTGGATCCACGAGGATCTCCGGCCTTGGAAGGCCTCAGGAATCACGAGGGAGATGTTGGAGAGTATTAAGAGTACTGCGCATTTTAGGATAGTGGTTCACAAGGGGAAAGTCTATCTGGACAAGTTCGGGCCTGCATACCAAACGAGAGAAGAGTTCACATTCTGGGGGATCGTGCAGCTCCTGAGGTTGTATCCCGGTAAGTTGCCAGATTTGGAACTGATGTTCCAATGCGAAGACCGACCGGCAATCAAGAAGCAAGATTACAAGGGCTCGAAAGCCACCAAGATTCCGCCACTATTTCATTATTGTGGACACCACACGGCGTTCGACATTCCGTTCCCTGATTGGTCCTTCTGGGGTTGGTAATAACTCGCTTCTTTTGCGTTACAGCAGCTTTAATTTTTTATCATAGTGCCGAGAAATGAGAGCATTTTTTACCAGCTAAACCGTCGGCTGTTCGAGCTAAGTTTAGCCCATGTCTTAGCAGATTCGGTGGATGAGTGCGGCATAAGAAGCTCCTAATGCACGATTTCACATAATGCATAGAACTCACCACACCAAATTGTTTCTTTCTCAACTGTTTGGCCAACGAAGGTCGGGTCGCTATCCAGTTCGGAGGGAATTTGCGAAAGCACTTCCATTGAGCAACCTTTTTGCGTCTTTTAATGCTCTCTCTTCCGGAAAAGCATCATGTAAAAAGTGGGAAGTGTCTCATGCAAGCACGTTTTATGTGGTAGGCCTGAAGTGAACGTAAAGCCATGGGAAAGCACATTATCAGCCATAAAAGAGAAGGCAGAGATGATCCCATGGAAGGATAGAGAGCCCTATGCTTATTGGAAAGGCAACCCTACTACGTCTCGAAGCAGGGGTGAGCTCCTCCAGTGCAATGACAGCAAAAAAATCGATTGGAAAGCTCGCTTGTATGACCAGGTAAAAATGGAAAAGCAAAGCACTTTGTGAACTCTTGACATCATTAATGATAACTGATCCTTATTTGATTTGGTCCGTGCTACCTATTGTTACTTGGATCAGATAGTAAAGTTACTGCACTAAAATGTGAAACTTGATGTGCTTGCGATTTCCATTTCCAGGATTGGGGTCGCGAAATGGCCGAAGGATTTAAGCATTCGAATCTAGAAGATCAATGCACTCATAGGTAAGCCAGTAACAATTCCCCGTTTCGTTTGTCTTACAAATCCTCTCCCGCTCTCTTTGTAAATTAGTAGTCGGTATTCCAGATCGCATCGTATGGCTTTGTCATAAACTAAATTTACTTGCATGAACTAAACATGGTGCAGGTATAATATCTACATTGAAGGAATCGCTTGGTCGGTCAGTCAGAAGTATGTTCTGGCATGCGATGCCATGACTTTGCTGGTAAAGCCGGAGTACTATGATATCTTCTCAAGAGGACTGATCCCCATGGACCATTACTGGCCCATTAGGCCCCACAAGAAGTGTAGAGATATCAAGTTTGCTGTGGAATGGGGAAACGAACACCCTAAGCAGGCACGGAGGATCGGAGAGAGTGGAAGCAGATTCGTCGCCGAGAGCGTGAAAATGAAGTACGTGTACGACTACATGTTCCACTTACTCAGCGAGTACTCGAAGCTCCTGAAGTTCGAGACGAAGGTGCCACCGGGGGCGGTCGAGCTGTGCTCGGAAGAGATGGCATGCCCATTTGGCGGCTCGATCAGGAAGTTCATGGACGATTCCATGGTGATGTCCCCTGGCGATGCGCTTCCGTGCTCGTTGCCACCTCCTTATGAACCTCCTGAACTCCAAGCGCTCCTCGAAAGAAACGAGAAGGTGACTAGACAAGTGGAGATGGGGGAGGCTCAACACTGGAAAGATTTCAACAAACGCTCGTCCTCTTGGTGGTCTCGGATGTTTCATTTTTAGATTGCAAAGGTGGACACTGACACGTTAGTTTCATAGTCACTCCACTTATGCCTTGAAAACGATGAACCACAAAAGCGAGCAACTAGATTGAGTTGACCTTTTGTAAGTAAATCTCTCTCTAGGCGTACCTTGAAGCCACTTTCTTGTTGGTGAGCCTATGCATGACTACAGGAGCAGATGAGTAGGGCTCTAACTTGTGAATACTTCTTGCAAGTACTCAAGAGTCATCGTCTCAAATTAGACCTTGAGCCCGTATGTGTGATGAACTCAGCCCACGCTCAAGGATTTCTTTTCTTGGTGGTAGGGTCCATTCTAAATAAGGGGTGTTTGGAAGGAACCGCCTGGACAATACCGAATTGGCTTGTTCCGGGTGGTTCTGAGGGCATCAGTTCTGTTCCAAGTTTAAAAAATTAGAATCGGTGATTTTCGGTCAGGCTTCCAGTTTTATGTGTGGAACTGCCCATTCAGACTACCTAAATCAGACCAAAATTTTTTTTTTTTTGAAATTTCTTACAGATTAATGCTTTTATATGGGACTGCATCTTGTCTATATCTATAGTTTATCATTTTCATTTATCCATGAGCTCGTTGCGAAGCATTGAAATCAATTTTGCACTGAATGGGGTCGTTTTGATAGACCTTGCAATGGGCCTGTACTCATTTTCTGTTAACCCATACAAATTCCCATGAGAGGTTTAACATCCTTCTCACAAAAATCCTACAAAGAATTATGGACTATATGCTTAAGAAAAAAACACTGAACATGCAACCGGTTCCATTGGCCCACCTGGAATCGTACCGGTCGGTTTGGTCCGATTCGGTTCCCGGTTCCGGAAATCGGGAATCGATCCCTCTGGTTTGGCTTTCAATTCCTGGGTGGGAATCGATCATCCCTTAATTCTAAAGTTCCCATAAAAGGGTTGCATTCATCCGTCACGAATTCGAAAGTTTTCTTATCTTATCTTTATCGCATTTTAATTTAAAATTCAGACGATTACATGTTTTCCATACTTCAAAAAATGTATTCGAGTAAATATTTGCATGAAAGAACAATCAGATGTCTACCTATTTCATCATTCGTCAAACGGATTTTCCTAGTAAAGATACTGATGGTGGCAATCGTAGCCAATCCCCGTTGGATTGTATTAGTCCAGCGTTGGTAAACCAACAAGTCGATCGGAGTATAAAAATTGGCGCGCCGATTGATTGCAAAGGAAATAACTTGTGGATACAATATCGATCGCCGATGATTAAATATGGCGGAACGGTGCTCTAGGTATTCCCAAGGAAGGGCGGCGCTTATGACTTACGAGCAGTGGCGACAGCATCTAATGCTCTGCTGATATTGACACTTACACATTTCACCTCTCAAGGGATGGAAACTATGAAATTCAGGAATTGACTTTTTGTTGCAATAAAAGCAACTCTATGATCCTACCAATCTCGCAAGTAACCTATATAGATCAAACTTCATATTCGAGCCCACTTTATTTTCTGCTAATTAAAACTTTTGATAAAAATCCACAATCCTCCATCCCTAGAGATCTAGTTACAACTTAGCTAGGGCCGCAGGAGAGCATTCAAACTTTTCAGAGTCCCCAAGTTTAATTCGATGTGTGGTTGTAGATAGATAGATGGATTTCTGTGCTTCTATGGGTGACTTGGACTCCCTTTGAATGGAGCTAATACTACTAAAAATTCCAAATTGGTATCCCGTGTTTGGAGTTGGCAAAATGGGTATAGAACCCATATATTAACCTGTATAAAATGGTGCTGGTCATAAATTGATTGCTTAAGTTTTAAAAACGAGCTTAAAATGGTCATAAAGAGGTTACTTAATAATTTAATGAGTCTTAAATGGATCATAAATGAATTAATTAATAATTTAAGGGGTCTTAAATGTGTCATAAATGGGTTAGTTATTTGAGTCATAAATAGACAAGTCATTTTTTTAATTCTTTTAATTTTCTGATTTTTCATAATTTTTTAATTTTTAATTTTTTTTCTTTCTTTTCCTTTTTTTTTTCTAGGAATCTGGCAAGGGTTGCTGGTCAATCACCAATCGACCTCGCCGTCGCGACCCACGGCAGTCGGCCTGCGCCAGGCTCAGTGGCCGGCGCCCGTAGTCGCGACACAGCGAGTCGGCCGGCGGAAATCAGTCGCGGCAAGCGGTAGCGGCGAAGCGCGGCGGCTAGGGCGTGACAGACGCGGCATACGACCTGTAGCGGTGCGGCGCGGCGCAGCCAAAGAAGGAAGGATAGAAAGAAAAAAAAAAAGAAAAAAGAAAAAATATTAAAATATTATTAATAAAAGAAATTTTGTGTAGATTCTGTGAAAGCGTATTTACATTCTTTCTATCGAGAATAGAAATTTTAGATGATTACTCTTAACAACAATGAAATGCTTAGAAATTGTTTAAGGCGCGAATAAAAAGAACCCGATTCAGTAGAAACTAGTTAAACGTAAACTTGTTAATAAATGCATATGCTTAATAATTTAATGAGTTTTAAATGGATCGTAAATGAATTAATTAATAATTTAAGGGTCTTAAACGTGTCATAAATGGGTTAGTTATTTGAGTCATAAATAGACAAGTCATTTTTTAATTCTTTTTAATTTTCTGATTTTTCACTTAATTTTTTAATTTTTTTCTTTCTTTTCCTTTTTTCTAGAAATCCGACAAGGGTGCATCGGCCAATCATCGATCATCGCTGGTCACCGCCGGTCGTTGGCCGGTTGGGTTCCTAGTCATCGGCGAGTCGTTGCTTGGTCACGTTGGAAAAAGAAAAAAAAAAGAAAAAATTATAAATATTATAATAAAATCAAATTTTTTTTTAAAGTTTTAAAAATTGTCCACAGTGTTTTAGCAATATACATTTAAAAAAAATTTATAACAATTAATTTGTTCTAAATTGGATTCAATATTGAAGTCTTTTAACAATATGTGTCGGGTCAGGTCGGATTGGGTATGGGCCGCTAGAATTGTATTATATGAAAATGGGTCGAACCATTCCAAACCCGAGCCGACTCACCCGTTTGATAGGTATATCCATGCCACATTTATCCAAAACTAATTTTCGACTTTGCATGGTCTTTCATTATAAAAAAAAACATGGAGAAGATTAACCCTTTAAAATCGCAAAGTTTCACAATTGCTACCAAAAATATGAAGCGAGTGTACATCCATTAGAACATTATGACCACATGAACGGCGTCGTACTCGAAAAACCTTTGGGTGGACCGACTGGGGAAATGGTTACAGGTTGCCTGCACATGGACGAGATCATATAGTTAGGATGAAGTTCTATAAGCAAATATCATTCACATATTGACGAAAATGTAGTGTTTATACATATTATCCACAGTTATTGATGAATAATTGTGTCTAATTAGGACGAAGGATGTTAAATTAAGAGGTGCAAATGCGAATCAATGAGAATCCAAAGTTAGAAAGGAGTCTCACTGGTCTTCGAGGATATAATCGGTCTGTGATTTTTCGTGATGCGAATATTAGTTTTGGGAGTAAATGTGGCACGGACGTACTAATTCTGGATTTCATGTGGCACAAAAATTAGTTTGGGATAAATGTGACGCGAAATGCACTGATTTGAGATTTTTGGTGGCGTCAATCCTAGTTTAATAATGCCCAATTTCATTGAAACTAGAAAGGAAAAAAGCATCCTCTCCTTTCCGACATAATTAGGTAAGGAGGCAATAGCATCAAATTTATTCAAATGGGTCGGTACATCTCTACTTCTCTGTGGACAAGAAGACTTGCCCGAATCAAGTCATATACATGTTGCTTCACATGCAAATTAATTTAAACCAATAAATAAATAAAAGTAGGAAGTCAAATTCAATCACTTAGTCTTCAAGCCTTCACGCCTCCTTTGGCAAGTGCATCACCAAAAATTTGGATTCCTAATCATGTGATAAACCTTCCTTAACGGAGAGTTCTTCTTCAACCAAAACAAGATTAGATAAAATAAAACAGATTGCTTTTGACTTGAAATGAGATCACACGGATTACAAACACCCAATCTTACGTTCTTGCTCTTTTGCTGAAAAACGAAAATTAAGCCGGATAATACTAGGACTGAACTTCATCTGAGCTTGTTCATGTAATCACAAACCAAGGAGTGCACTCTAAGCAAGCAAAAAATAGTTAGATGTGACTTTGCAGTAGTTTCATCACTCAATCTCCCTCAAGAACACCCATTGAAAACAAAAGAAAGAATACGAAGAAGTTGTAATCTCTGTTAGTCTCGATCCCAAGCCTGAGTGCCTCACAAGATCAATGGAAGATGAAGAAGAAAGGCTCCGTCCGAAGACTGGACTGGGTTCGAATATGGGTCGGTCGCGAAGTTCGTCGAGTAGTAGCCGTCCGCTGAAGTCGTGGACTCCGGCAGCTGTTTTCGCTTCCTTTGTCGTGATCATCCTTTGTGGGAGCGTCGTCTCTTGGCTGGACATTGTAAGTCTTCGCAACTTTCTGCTCTTTGATGGTAACGAGTCTGTCCTTGTGGCTTAGAGGTTCTTTTGTTGTGAACTCGTATGTTAGTCAAACTAAAACCTTGGCTGATCAAGATGACGAATTTGAATGATGAGTGCCCTCGTTCAAAGTTATCACATTCTCTCCACCTCTCTCTATGGGCTCGGTTCATTGGACCATCTTTGCTCATTTTCTTGTTAAGGAGCACTTCTATGAATGAAGTCAAAGGCTGCAATACATACCTGAGAAAACCAGGGACAGCAAGTTAGACTACTGTGGCGTCCGCGCTTGGTTCAGGGAAACTGCAGCGTCTGGACTCGTGTAGAAAGAGACTCTGCTTTCATCTGATGTATTGCTTACTGAACCATCCTGACATTCGGACTCTCTAGGAAAATAGATTATGCTTGATCCAGCATTTGGTCATAGAATGCAGATACGATAAGCGCAACTTAATTGTGCTTTCATGCCTATGAACACCATGATGTATTTGAATACTTACATTCAACTCGAACCTGCCCAGTCGGAAAAACCAAACATGGAATCGAGATTCTACTCAATTGAACCGTCCTTTCTTTTTCCAGAATTTTGTTGGCCAGCTCTAATGGTTGTACGTTCCACAGTAGATTTAGACCAGTCAATTGAACTTCAGGAACCAGTTAACCCAACAGATCGTGATGCCGAAGGATTTGATATATTTCCACTATTACAAGATATCGGGAATTAGCATCACATTAACAATGCGTTTCGCTATTGGATAAGCCCCTCATACACCTAAATCTTATAAATTTACCTTCGTTCTTACTTTTATCATTGTATGCTGCACTCCAGTTTATATTTCCAGGAGGTTCATTAGGGCAAATGATTACTGCTAAGAGAGACCACCAAAAGCCGCCTCAGAAGATGGAATTCCCTCTCAACTGCACCAATTCATCAACCATGCCCCAGACATGCCCGGCAAACTACCCGACGAAATACAAGCCTGAGGAATTGTATGCCGTGGCGTGCCCGGAGTACTTCCGGTGGATCCACGAGGATCTATGGCCATGGAAGAGCACGGGGATCACAAGAGAGTTGATGGAGAGAACCAAACACATTGCCCACTTCAGGCTTGTGATTGTGAATGGCAAGGCTTATATAGAGCACTACAGGAGGCCCTTTCAGACACGAGATGTGGGCACAATTTGGGGGATTTTGCAGCTCCTGAGGTTGTATCCCGGAAAAGTGCCAGATTTGGAGCTCATGTTCTATTGCAATGACAGGCCGGTGATCATGAAGAGTGACTACCAAGGGCCCAATGCTGTGTCACCCCCGCCGCTTTTCCACTACTGTGGGAATGACACATCGTTGGACATATTATTTCCTGACTGGTCATTCTGGGGATGGTAATAATCTTATTCTCCTCTGTGATTAACACAGTGACTCGATATTTTTTGAAAAGATAATCATGTGCATTGTAGTTCTCATCTTGGGATCGGAAAAAATCATGTGCATTGAAGTTCTAATCTGTAATTTTGTATAGGCACGAGGTCAATATTAGGACATGGGCAAATACATACCAAGCCATCAAAGAGAGAGCAAACGATATTGCATGGAAAGATCGAATCCCTTATGCATACTGGAAAGGCAACCCGGACGTATCGCCTAATAGGCAAGACCTAATGACGTGCAATGCGACTGACGAACATGACTGGAATGCTCGTCTATATGCCCAGGTGATTCAGCCTTGTCCATCAAGCTAGTTGCTAAGTTGATCAAACTCAAGCCCAAATCATGAGGTTGTGCTGAGCTATTCTCACAAAAGAATATGCAGTTCTTGTGAATTGCCATTGGCTTGTGATAGTTCTTGATTTTGGTACTGTAACAGTCACAGAAATGTACTAATTTTTCCACTCATCGTCCGACAAGCTGCGCGGACCACTTTGTGATCTCTCTCTCCGAACAATTAGAAAAAGAAAGTTTGTAACTGACAGATAATTTCTGTGATTATTTTTCTTTTTATCAGAATTGGGCTGCTGAATCTAGGCAAGGATTCAAAGCATCGAAATTGGAAGATCAATGCATCCACAGGTAATTACGCAATGCAACTCCTTATGATTCTCAAGATCCCCTGTATATGTTCTGGATTGATTAATCTGATTAACAAGTTCCTCTCCATCCATTCATTTTCAAGGTACAAGATCTTTGTTGAAGGCAAGGCATGGTCCGTGAGCGACAAGTACATTCTGGCATGTGATTCGATGACTTTGATGATGGAGCCGGTTTATCACGATTTCTTCCTAAGAGGGATGATCCCAATGGAGCATTACTGGCCCATTAGGCTCAACAACAAGTGCAGAGACATCAAGTTTGCAGTAGAATGGGGCAACAAGCACATCAAAGAGGTACTAATATATTTCCAAAGCAATGTGGAGATTCCTGATCGATATTTAAATGGGTCCGCTAACTCAAGGAACGACTTACAGTATCACGACTCGAACATTAATGTTACCCCACTTCTTTTTCCTTTTACTTTTCTGGGTTGTTACTAACAACTTTGCATTTCCTGGCCAAATTAGGCACAAGCCATTGGAGAAAGTGGGAGTACATTCATGGGGGAGAATCTGAAGATGAAGTACGTCTACGACTACATGCTTCACCTCCTTGTTGAGTACGCAAAGCTTCTCAAGTTCAAGCCGGAGGTGCCAACGGGAGCGCCCGAGTACTGCGCCGAGACAATGGCATGCCCGATTAGCGGTCTGTTTAGGATAAACATGGAGGACTCCCTGGTGAAGTCCCCTAGTGATTCACTGCCTTGCACACTGCCACCTCCTTATGACCCAAGGGAGCTTCAAGGCTTCATGGAGAGAAAAAGGAACATCACTAGGCTAATTATTAAGAAACAATGAAATGCCGATTTCGCTCGAGCATTTTTCTTCTTCTTCCTGTGCTCTTAGCAGAATGTGGCTGCATCACCGAGTGGAAGAGAGCAATTTACTAACTTTAAGAAGAAAAATTAGTTAGAGGGCCATATTGGAAATACTTGTTACGTACCATTGTGTCACAAGTTGAAGGAACAAGTAAGTACGGGTGACTGATGAACTTCATCGGTGAAGTCAAAAAAGAAGAAGAGAGATTTGCATCTCCACGTCTCCCTTGGTAGTAAGACTCTACATTGAAAGTCTCAAATCTGTCAAATGTTACTTCATGTGGAAACAAGGTTAACTAGAAATTTTCAAATCACTTCTCCTTAAGCTTCACTAACACCCCAAAATAAGAAAAGTAAGTAAATATATAAAAAACTGAAAGACTTCAAATCCTACATCAGTTGTGGAAGGGGCTGGTGGTCAGTTTATAAATGTAAGGGAAAGTCTCACTCTTTGAGCTGCTTTTGTGCTGTAGGAGACTCAACGTTTTGTCCACGAAGGAATTTGATGCGTGTACGAGATGTGCGACTGGAATACGCCTCTTTATATGGAGTAACTAATACATAACATTAAAGACACCAGTCAAGCACTATGGCTTAAAAAAGAAAAAATACTAGAAGGCATTGGAGAAGTGCAGAACCACCTCTTATATTTTGCAAAAACAAGTGGGTGGTCGCTATCCAGAAAAAAACTTTTACTCAAAAAGAACCAAACATATTGCCATTAATGCTCCATTTGTTTCGTGAAAAATAAATAATTTAGAAAATATTTTATTAAAAATAATCGCTTGTATCGCTTACAATAATGAATGACCGAAAAATATATTCATCGTGCACGAAAATATTTAGACATAAATTGTTGTCGATAATAAAAATATTTTCGATTGACTAATTATTTCAAGCTTTATCATTTTCAGAAAAATATTTTTTAAATTATTCATTTTTCAGCGAAACAAACGGAGCCCAAATATCACTTCATATGAGAAGTTCAAAGTAACAACAAGGTCAAGCTCATTATTGCAAACTTGAAAATCGAGTTGTGGCTATATTTACTAAAGCATTACCACAAGCCAAGTTCGAGATACGGCAAAACATGCTCAGAGTATTACGAAAATTGATCAATGAGGAGAGTTGAAGTATCGATCAATTTTTAGAATAGCCAAGACTCCTCTAGAATTAGTGCTCTCCAAGTTTCTAATTTAGTCTTATTGAGAGGTGATTAAAGTTTGTGGCCATGAATATGTCCAAGGATAAAAACTAGTAGAATATCTCAGACAAATGCAGAGATATTGGTGTACATGTTGGTTGATTGAGCCTATAATTGGGCTTGGGATGTTGAGTAGGTACAAGATATCAACTGACAACACCAATGTTCCACGTCCAATACCACTTGTAATAACCCAGCTGTTCAATAAAAATTTCTATACCTCGTCCCATTGTTGTTGCATTTACCGAGAATCCCCACATATTTTTTACATCCCATAACACAATACTAACCCCAAAATCTAACACAGCCTAACATCCTCTTAATTAGCTTCATTAGTGAGTGGGGAAAATTACCAAAAAGGTCTTAAACTTATTGCATTTATGACAATTCAGTCTTAAACTTTTCAATTTGGCAAATTTAGTTCTAAACCTTTTGACGATTTGCCAATTCATTCATTCCGGCCAATTTAGGCCGGAAATCGCTAATGTTGATTCGGCAGTGCCATGTAGGGGTGTCATTGAACTGTACGGTCGCGCGAGGTTTGATTGTACAGTTCGTCCAATACCAGCCGTCCGCTAAAGTCGTGGACTTCGGCTGCTGTTTTCGCTTCCTTTGTCGTGATCATCCTTTGTGGAAGCGTCGTCTCTTGGTTGGATATTGTAAGTCTCCACAACTTTCTGCTCTTTGAGTCTGTGCTTGTGGCTTGTGGCTTAAAGGTTCTTTCGTTGTAACCTGTATATGTTCAAACGAAGATCTTGGATGATCATGAGGACAAATTCGAATGATGAGTTCCCTCGTTCAAAGTTATCACGTTCTTTCCGCCTCTCTTTCTGGGCTCGGTTCATTCGATTGTATTTGCTTATTTTATTGTTGAGGAGCACTTCTATTAAGTTTCGAAGTTGAGGCTGCAACATACACCTGAGAAAACCAGGGCCAGCAAGTTAGACTAATATGGCGTCGTCGCTTGGTTCAGGGAAACTGCAGCATTCGGACTTGCGTGGAAAGAGACTCTGCTTTCATCGAATATATTGCTTATTGAACCGTCCTGAAATTCGGACTCTTTAGGAAAATAGATTATGCTTAATCCAGCATTTGGTCATAGAATGCAGATACGATAAGCGTAATTTAGTTATGCTCTCATGCCTATATGAACCATGATGTATTTGAATTCGTACAATCAACTCGAATCCGCCCTGTTGGAAAAACGGAAGATGGAATCGAAATTCTACTCAATTGAGCTGTCCTTTTTTTTTTTTTCCAGAATTTTGTTGGCCAGCTCTAATGGTTGTACGTTCCACAGTAGATTTAGACCAGTCAATTGAGCTTCAGGAACTTACCCCCGACAGATTGCGATGCCGAAAGATTTGATTTATTTGCACCATTATAAGATGTCAGAAATTAGCATCGCATTTACAATGTGTTTCAGTATTGGATAAGACCCTAACACAGCTAAATCTTGAGAAATTTACCTTCATTGATATGAACTTACTTTTTTCATTGTGTGTGTGCACTCAAGTTTATATTTCCAGGATTTTCTTTAAGGCAAATGATTACTGCTAAGGGAGGCCACCGAGAGCCTTTGATGTAGCCATTGAGAAATGCACTTTTTACGTCCATCTGAAAAAGTTTAAAGTTATGGAAGTAAGCATAAGCTAAGAGGAGCCTTATGGCTTCTAGCTTGATAACATGTGCATAGGTTTTATCATAGTCTATTACTTCTTCTTATGCGTAACCTTTTGTCACAAGCCTGACTTTGTTTCTAGTAATCTTACCTTAGTCATCTAGTTTGTTTCTGAACACTCACTTTGTTCCGATTATTGGATGATTCTTTGGTCTTGGTATTAGTTTCCAAACTTCATTGACTCTGAACTGATAGTTCTTCTTGCATGGCTTCTATTAGGGGTGTCAGAACTGAATCGAAAAATCGAATCGAAATACAAACCGAACCGAACCGAACCAAAATTTCATGCATTTTCGGTTCGGTTCGGTTTTTGGTTCGAATAATGAATAAAAACCATATTTTTTCTGCCGGTTCAGATTTTAACAGTTCGGTTTGGTTCGAACCGAAATATAAAATCACGCTTAGCCCTTTAAGCCCTAAAAATTGCACTCTATCTCTCGTCTCCTTTGAATTGCTCTCTATCTCACTCATGAGGTGACCGAGGCAAAAGATTTGGATCTTACCTCGGCGGTGAGAAATTCCCATGACGATTACAAGTCGAACTTGCACGAGGAAGTTCAGGAGAGTTTCACCGGAGAAGACGAGTGTCGGGAATGGAACTATTAGCGAGAACAAACCACTTCGAGTCTTCACGGCCAAAAGCAGAGATGAGCAAGAGAGGGAACGTTTCAAGGTGCGGCTCTGAGACGGCGTGAAAACGGCGCAGGTGAAGAAGAAAAACTTTTGTTTCCCCCCCTCTCTCTCTCTCTCTCTCTCTCTCTCTCTCTCTCTCTCTCTCTCTCTCTCTCTCTCTCTCGTGGTCTCCTCTTCCTTCTGTGGGTGATAAAAATGAGATCTTGAAAAACCCCTCATTTTTCATTTTTTTTTCATTTTTTTTATATTGGTATCATCGTACGGTAAAAACGCAAAAAACAAGAAAAAAGAAGAAAAACCGAAAATCGAACCGAACGGAGCCGAACCGAACCGATTTTTTGGTTCGGGTCATTTTTGGTTCGGATCAAGATTCTGTTCAGTTCAAACTTACATCCTAACAGTTCGGTTTTCTTGAAAATCCGAACCAAACCGAACCGTTGACACCTCTAGCTTCTATCAAGCTTTCATCAGTGAGGGCTTCATCAATTCCTTTTGATTCTATTTCATATATAAGTGTCAAAGTACTTATATTTTCTTTGAGCCTGGAACGTGTCTTGATACCATCTTTTACCTTCCCAATGATGAGATTCTTTAGATGACTTGATTTGTGTTTCTAGTTTTTGTTGAATTTGTTATTCTGATCTTCATCAATTTCTAGAGAGATAGGCTGAATTTGATCATTTGTAAGATCATCATTGATTTTCTCAACAGGATGAACACCTTCAGGTATAGAATTTTGTTGAGATTCTTGTACGTCCACATTGGCTTGAGAATGTTCATATTCATCTTCTAGAAATATGAGGATTCTCCTCAAATTTGACATTTATCGATTCTTCCACAGTTTAAGTGTTCTTGTTGAAGATTCTATAGGCCTTGCTTGTTATTGAGTACCCAATGAAGATTCCTTCATCTGATTTCTCATCAAACTTTCCAAAACTATCATTTGTATTTTTAAGAACAAAGCATTTACATCCAAAAACATGAAAACATGAAATGCTTGATTTTCTACCTTTGTAAAGCTTATTGGGGGTTTTCTCAAGAATTTGTCTTAGAAAAACTCAATTGATTATGTAGCATGCTGTCAAAACAGCTTCTGCCCAAAAGCGAGAAGAGACTTTGCTTTCAATCAATAGAGTTTTTGCCGTTTTTTGTAAAGAACGATTTTTCCTTTCAACAACTCCATTTTATTCTAGAGTATAAGGAGAAGAAAAAATATGTTCAAAACCATTTTCATCACAAAAATCTACATAACTTTGATTTTCAAACTCTTCTCCATGATCAATTTTGATGCTTGAAATTGCATAACCTTTTTCATTCTGAACCTTTTTGGCAAAATTTGAAAAATAAGAAAAAGTTTCATTTTTATGAGCAAGGAAAAATATCCATGTAATTCTGGTAAAATCATCAACAATTACTAAACAATACTTCTTATCACCAATGCTTTGACTTCTGGTTGGTCCAAATAAATCCATGTGAAAAAGTTGTAATGCATGATTAGTAGAGACATAATATATAGATTTAAAAGAGCTTCTGACCTGTTTTCCCAATGTGCAAGCTGTATATAATTCTGCCCTTTTGAATTTTAGATCTGGAAGGCCTCGAACAAGCTTCTTAATAGAAAGCTTGGATATTTATTTCATACTAGTATGCCCCATCCTTTTGTGCCATAAATATGTATCTTCCTTGATAGATGTGACATTCCGATTTTCGGCCCATTTTTGGGATTTATAAAACGTGTATTTCGTTAGTGCGCTTATAATAAAATC